TCTAGGTGATAGTTCTTGATTACTTTTTGATAAATAATTCGTTCTTATTGCGAAATAGGAGCACTATTTATCAATCTGTAATAAAAGACAAAAATGTTTGAGGCGAAATACCCAAAAAAAAGTTTGTAAAAAATGAATTCGCCTCAACGATATAGAACTTATCTACTACCTATTCATTTGACCGGCAAAACCTCAAAGAAACATTGGGTTGGGTTCAACCCAATGTTTTTAGTGAGAATAATTTTTTGTCTACTCTATAATCTCGTACTACCCTTAAATAAATGACAACAATTTTCTAGGTATTTGGTGCTTTAACTTCATGCGCTCTGCACGTTTCGGACCATTTCTATGGAACTGGAGAGTCATTACTGTTCCGCTTTACGCCCCATTTCCAAGTCTACAATTGGACTGGCGAAAATCTGTACTTTATCAAAGGAAATAACGAATCGTTAAGTATCGGAGCCGGAGACGGAAAGTTTGGTCTCTGGTTGGATGGGGATTTGTATCTGGGACGAACGGAAACATGCAAAACATACGGAAACGATCCCCTTACGCCAAAAGTGGATTTTGTTGTGAAAACACTGGAATGTTGGGCCTTCATATCTAGTTAAGACGTGTTTTTTGTACATGCATTTGGCCACAGATTATTGTGTTAAGGCAGAAGATGAACTACGATGCATATCAAGCTATCATGGAAAGGGCATAGATAAAATTTATTAGATATTGCTTAGTAGGACTTCACTACTGCAAAAAAATTATTGGCTGGTTAGCTCACACGGAGATGTGCATTATTTATTTAAAAGATACAAAAATACATATTGTAATGTTAGCAGATATTTCATTTACCATTTAGACAATTGTTTTAGATCGTTCTTCTCATTGGGCTTTGTGGCTTAGATACTTAAAAAAAGATATAAAAAATGGCTGTCTACCGGAGAGTATTTCCATGCTATGCTACAACGAATTTTTTCAATTTTCCGCATATTAACTCTAGGCTATGTAGTGAATACACGTGTATCTTTATATCTGTGTGCTAAACTAAGAGCTGTAATCCTTAGTCCTAATCAGCTGAAACGCGTCAGGCTCGAGACCGTCGCGCCAGCCCACACAAGCAAATTGAAAACAACTCATACGGTGTCTTTAAATGACGACAATAACATTTTTTAACAAGCGGCAGTGGTTTAAAACGCGCCGGTCTCCTGCTCATCATTTCCCTAAAACTATTGAGAATAATCTTAGTTGGGTAGCCTTAATATGATTGTGTTGTAGCAATTAATTGTTGGCGAGGCCATCCTGGCTGTTTTCAATGTCTTTTTTGTCAATTAGGCGCATACTAACATGCCATATCATCATTTGTCAATTTACCTATTAGGCTTAACTGTTTTGCGATAATCAACCAGCTATATTGGTGTTTACACCATTTACTCGATCATTCATGTATATAGTAGCTTTGTCCGTCGACGCAATTATTATATTAGATAATTCGTTGAAAAATCCGATGTGTCTGCGACCAAAGCTATTTATCGTCATTGTTTTGCCACATGCCGGCGGTTGTCCGCAAAAGAACAACTCTCGGCATGGGTCGTTACGTACATACCTACTATGGTAACATGCCATTGCGATTAAATAGGAAGGAAGAAGTCGGCTTAGAAGATTCAGGGTGGAGAAGAAGTTTATTTTTTTATTTTCAGGAATGTTTCCAATGGCATTGCCATGTTAACCCAAATAGTCACTTTAACCAGCATGTCCTACGTTACACTATTCAGTCATTGTTACATTTATGTGATGTTAAGATTAACTATTCCTTCATATTTAGACCTGCGTGATAGACGTGGGTACTTGTAACCGATCGTATATTAAAATTACTTTATTGCATACTACTATAAACGTACCTAAATAAAGAATTTATAATAACAAAAACATTCTATATTTTCCTAGATTAAGTCGACCAGATCAGTATGCATGCAGAGCTATTTATTTTTCTGAGCTAAATTATTGTTAAACAACAGTAAACCGCAATTACCTTTGCTTGATTAATTAGTTGGACTGAACAGTTTGTCAGTATGTAACCGATTATTTAGGCTTAGATTTATTGCTGTCGCGTTATGTCCGATCAATCTTTGTTGGAGGTTTCCTGTAAAAACCGTGTAAATAGTTTAAAGATGAATAATATAAAATTATTGTATTTTATTTTGTGTTTTATTTCGCAGTACATCAGTCTACAAACATTGGGATCAAAATATGCAAATTCGATGAGTGTGAAAGTTAACTGGCTGTTCTCGCCTTTCAATATATCGGCATTTATTCTTAAAAAAACTGACTCATTGGCAGGTTTAGAAAAAAAACACGTCAAAAGTTCAATCTAACCAGAACCACGACTAAACAACAAAAATATCTCAAGTGCTTACAATATTTAATAGTTTGCTTTTTACAATAAATAAACCACAGACAAACATTCATCACTAAATAAGCAGCCAATCTATTGCAGGACCTCAAAATTTGGACAATCGCGTGAAAAAGGCGTTTAGCCTAGATAATCAAAAATTTCACTCAAACGCAGATATTTACGAATGTACCTTTGGTATTGGAATGGACAAACATTTCGAATTTGTAGATTGTTTAACAGCAAATCCGTTCTAGTGCTAAGTGTTCACTTTCGCAAGTAATACAATCAGAAACATTCCTATCGATATACCCCAAGCGTGACACATTAATCTAATTTCACAAACCCATTGATGAGTAAGAACCAGTTTGCAAATGAAAAAACTCTGCCTTGCAGAATTCAAGTTAAGTGCTTAAACTTAATTAGCTGTACCTAAGATATGATACAATAATTTTACGTGTTCCGCATGTACTTTACATTATCGTATAGACTATATAAGTAACTTTTATATAAAACACTTAATATCCTCTTATGAATAGTTCCTAGGTTACTTGCCACTCTAACAATAAAAGCGGCAACGTTTAATTTGTAAACAATAAAATATTAACCACATGATTGATAGTTGAAATAATATGCGCATAATTAAACTAGTTTAAAACACAAAATAACTCCCCAAAAATTAAAGTGAACTATCAAGAAATGTGCTTTTTCAATAGGATTCTATTACGGAACTTCCCAATAAATGCTCTCTAAAGCGCAAGAAAATCTAGTCGACTCGGGGCAAAAATGGGGGAGTGATTTGGTTCAACCCTCTCTAATTGCGGTTTGGAAATTAATCTCAGAAAACACACCTAGAGATTCGAAATTTTTAAAACTTTATCTGAACTAGCAGGGGCAATTGTCCTTGTTAGCTTGCTGATCGTTGGACAAGTTGTTGCGTCCTGGCTGTGACGGTTTATGTTGAACTCCCGATTCTGCCGCATTTAAATCTAATCGCCCATCCTGAATACTTTGATAGATCTTTTTGGCGGTTTCCAAGAATGCCTCTTCCACGTTGTCACCACTAGAAAAAGTGAAACATGCGTGAAGATTGGACATCAATGGATACAGATTAACCGTGAAACAACTATTGTCAAGTTGTATTGTATGTAAAGATCCATTTAAACGAAAGAATGAACCATTTCTAGGCTTGTCTAGACCAAAGGACAAGCTGTTGAAAATGTAAACAAGCGCAGGTACAAACCCTTTGTTGACTCAATTCGGATGCACAATAAAAATGTCCACAAACGCACAATAAAAAACCTGTCACGGTTCTGGGTTCTAATAAAGATAAACATTGAGATGTAAATAAAAATTTAATCTGATGATGTCCTGAACAATGACGCTTTCGTCTGCGAATTTTCTAATTTATGTCGTTATAATCCAGACCTGACGAGCCAAGCCTGAGCCGCCGAAGACAACGACAGACGATCCATTTACTGCCAACATCTAACTATCTGCTTAGATTTTTTTTTACAAACTTCTTGTTGGGTATTTTGCTTCAAAAATTTTTGTCTTTAAAAAAGACAGAATTTCCTCACGTCTTTTATTACAGATTGATAAATAGTGCTCCTATTTCGCAATAAGAACAAATTATTTATCAAAAAGTCATCAAGAACTATCACCTAGAGGGTATCCTGCGACACACTTAGGCTCAAACTTTAAGAGAAAATTCCAATTAGTAGAGAAATTAATTTGAAAAATTACCTTGACGTTTCGATAGCTATTTTCTGCTATCGTTATCAAAAGAACCTAAA